TGGAGGGAGGAATGTAAGGCGAGGAGAGGCAGGAACTCACTGCAGTCAGGTTTGGTGGAGACATGCAGTCTGAGGACAGGACATGGTCTGAGCATTGGTAGAGGTAAAAGAGCTCTAGTGGTTGGCTGCAATGCATCTTTGCCGGCCAGAAGAGGGCACCAGACCTCATTACAGATGGTTGTGAGCCACCATGTGGTTGCTGGGAATTGAACTCAGGACCTCTGGAAGAGCAGTCAGTGCTCTTAACTGCTGAGCTATCTCTCCAGCCCCTGAACTTGTATTACTATTATTATTATTATTATTTTGATACAGGGTTTCTCTGTGTAACAGTCCTAGCTGTCCTGAAACTAGCTCTTGTAGACCAGACTGGCCTCGAACTCACAAGAGATCCACCTGCCTCTGCCTCCTGGTTGCTGGGATTAAAGGCGTGTGCCACCACCACCTGGCCTCTGAGTTTTTATTATTAATACCAATTAGAATTCATGCTACACACTGGTTAGGTGAACATAAGGGCTTTCTAGTCAGTCTTTCCTTACAGAGTTGGGAACTGAAACGAATACACAGCAGGCTCTTCTGTTCTGCTTTGTATCCACACACTTGGTGCTGAAGATAGAACCGACACAGGCCTAGCTATTAGCTACATCCCTAGGCCTGCCTTTTCTTTGGGTTTTATGACAAGGTTTCTTTGTGTAACATTGGCTGTACCAGAACTCACTTCTGTAGTTCCAAGCTGACCTCAAACTCAGATCTACCTGCCTCTTCTTCCCAAGTGCTGGGAGTAAAGGCTTGTGCCACCACCGCCCGACCTAAACTGATTATTCTAAACCTTGTGTTATGCATCTGTAAGGTACGATGAGCTGGTGCTACAGTCCAGGGTCACTGAAGTTCAGAAGTAAAGGAAAATGTAAAACTGATGCCAAGAAATTTCACTCCTAGCACATTTTCTAGGTGGTGTTAGATAAAAATTTAATCAAAATTGAAGTTGTGGGGTTTTACTGTCTTTTTAAAAAATTTTTATTGCTTTATAAATAATACCATTCAAAATTTCCACTTCCTCCCCTCCTTCCGTCTCCCTCCCTCTTTTATTGTCTTTTTAATTTTTTGTTTTTTTAAATTTATTTATTTAAGATTTCTGCCCTCCCCCCCTTTTTAAGAGACAGGACCTGACTGTGTTTTAAGTTCAAGAAATCCTTGCGTTGGCCTCCCAGGTAGCAAAAGCACTGCACATTCTGAACCAACATTGTACTTCAAGGAATCAGTTCTGCAAAGTAATTGGGCATGCATAAAGACAAACCATGTAAGCTTTTCCCCGATATTATAGATATGATGCATCAGATACTTAACAAATACAATGACCTCCCATATTAGCATGCTCAGAGCAATTTTATCTACCCTTCAAAATAACCTTGAGATTCTAACAAAACGCCAAGAGGTGAAAATGTCACAGCTCTCAGTGTCAACACCCAACGGTACGGCTTTGAGACTGGTTCTCCCGTCATTCAGTCTGGCACTGAGTTTACTTTAGCTGAGGATAACCTTAAACTCCTGCTTTTTTCTTGAGACAAAGTCTTAAATAGCCCAGAGTGACCTAGAATTCCTTTTTAATACTTATTTTACATGTATGGAAAATACATGTACACATGTGTACCATATACATGCCTGGTGCCCACCGCAGTCAGAAGGGGGCTTTGGATGGGTGCTGGGAACTGAACTCGGGTCCTCTACAAGAGCAGCAAGTGCTCTTAAGCGCTGAGCCTGCCTCACTTGCTTCTTTCCAGACTCATGATGTAGACCAGGCTGGCTTCCTACCCCTGCCTCCTGAGTACTTCTGAGATTAAAGCTTTGTAGCACCACGCCTGACCTCATTTCCTCTTCTCCTTCCTTCTATATTTACCTCTGAGCCTCCAGCCCAATATATTAAAATTCTGCAAGTGTCACCAATGTGGGAAACTAGATCAAAGGTACAAAAGAGCTTTCTGTTTCCAATTCTGGGCTTGGATCCTAGGACTCCAAATGCGTTGGGTCAAGCCCAGCAGCAAAGCATGCACTAAGCATGTGTGAGGGCCGAGTTTGGGCCCCAGCAGAGCAAACACAGCACACGCACTGCATGTGGTCCTGTCATGGCTAGTTTCATGCTAACTTGACACAGCTAGATTATCTGAAAGGAGGAAACCCCAACTGGAAAAAAATGTCCCTCTAAGACCTAGACTAAGCATTTTCTTAATTAGTGATTGATGGAGGAGGGCCCAGCACACTGCAGGGTCATCCCTTGGCTGGTGGTCCCCGGTTCTCTAAGAACCATGAGCAGGCCATGATGAGCAAGCCAGTAAGCAGCATCCTTCCCTCCATGACTACTGCACCAGCTCCTGCCTCCAGGATCCTGCCCTGAGTTCCTGTCTTGATTTACTTCAATGATGACCATTGTGATACAGAAGTGAAAGCTGAATCAACTCTTTCCTCCCGTTTTTGGTCATGTTTTGTCACAGCAATAGAAACCGTAAGACAGGCCTTATCATTAATTCACTAAAAAATATTATTTTTGAGACGATTTTACTGTTGTAGCCTAGATTGGCCTAAACCTGTGTTTTTCTTGCCTAGGTCTCCTGAATGTTAGAATTCCAAGTGTGCCACAATAGGCATAAATGGGCGGGTCAGATGGCTCAGCAGGTAAAGGCACTTAAGGTCAAAACTGTTAACTCAAGTTAGATGACTGAGACACAGGTAGAAACAGAGAACTGACTACTACCAAGCTGACCTATGACTCTCACATGCACATATATAAAATAAACTTATTTTTTTATTGATTTATTTTTATTTTATGTTCATTGGTATTTTGCCATGAGTGGTGGGTTTCTTGGAACTGGAGTTACAGACAGCTGTGAGCTGCCATGTGGGTCTGCTGGAAGAGCAGCCAGTGTTCTTAACCACTGAGCCATCTCTCCAACCCCTTATTATTCTTTTTTAAATGGTGGTGGCAGCGCATACCTTTAATCCCAGCAGTCAGGAGGCAGAGGATCTCTGTGAGTTCGAGGTCACTCTGATCTACAAAGCGAGTTCTAGGACAGCTAGGAATGAAGGAAACAGAAATGGACTGGAGAGAGGGTCAGCGAGTAAAAGGACTTCCACACAAGCCTGACTTGGGTTTGATCCCTAGAACCCGAGCATGCGCCCATAACGCCAGCAGTCCTCCAGTGAGATGAAGTGGGGACAGACAGAACAGGAAGCTCGCAGGCTAGCTAGCCTAGAGCATACATGTAGCAGAAACAAGAAAGACAGACCTCCTCACCCCAAACAAGGTGGGGGTCAGTGAGACGGCTCAGCAGTGAGGTGTTTGAGTTTGCCCTCTGGAAGCCTCAGAAAGGCAGCAGAGAACTGACTCTACCAGGTTGGCCTTTGACCCCCACATACATGCTGTGTCATATGTGCTATGGCACACACATGCGCACATATAATGCTGTTAGAAAAAAGGTAAAGGCCATCTGATCAAAAACAAAAACCAAGGTTAGGAAAGACAGAACTGATGCGCCAAAGCTGCCCTCTGACCTCCACACTTGTGTCTACACTTAAACACACAGCACACACACTCTAAATATTTCTTTAAAAAGATAAATTAAACGAAGCTGGGCGATGGTGACGCATGCCTTTAATCCCAGCACTCGGGAGGCAGAGGCAGGCGGATCTCTGAGAGTTCGAGACCAGCCTGGTCTACAGAGCTAGTTCCAGGACAGGCTCCAAAGCCACAGAGAAACCCTGTCTCGAAAACCAAATAAATAAATAAATAAATAAAATAAAGGAAACATACTAATTAGCTGAAAGTTAACAACTATGGAGATCACAAGACCAGGTGGGCCTGAACCAGGACCTCACCTCTGCCACTGACAAAGTCTACACTGAGTTTACAGGGTCCTGGACATGTTAGCAAGAGCCATCCCTGTGCAGTTTCTTCATGCTTAATTCATAGCTAGTTTTCCCTCCTCCCAAAACTTAGCTTTGGATTTCGGTTCCGCACTTGCTAGGGTGTTGTCTGCATGGAGCATCTTCACCCTTACCTAATGTCTTCACAGCTGCTTTGGTCTTGTCTGATCCTCCCCTGACCATCTCACGGGGCAGTGATGTCTCTCAGGGCAGAGTTAACAGTTCCTGGGACGCCTCTGTCACAGTGACATTATGCTCACCAAACATTTTCAGAACTGCTACATGCAATTAATCACCACACATGTCAAGAGTTCTCACTAACCATGTTATTGAGGGGTTTAGATAAAGTGCATGACCCCAGTGGCTGGCACCTAGGATGAAGCACTTGGGACACAACACACACACACACACACACACACACACACACACACACACACACACACACACACACACACACACACACTGAGATTGGAAGCTGGGTGTGGTGGTGTATGTCTTTAATCCCAGTACTCAGGAGGGAGAGGCAGGTAAATCTCTTGAGTCTGAGGCCAGCTTGGTCAACATAAAGTAGTCAGATCTTGCCTCAAAAAATCAAAACAGAGACTGGAGGCTGGAGAGATGACTCAGTAATTAGGAGTACTTTGGGGGCTCACATCCAGTTCCAGGGAATCCAATGCACTCTTCTGGCCTCCAGAGGCACATGTGGTGCACATAAACACACACACACACAAAACAATGAAAACATTCACTGCATGTTCACCTTTTAAATAGTGACAGCAGGGGCTATAGAGATGGCTTAACAGGGAAGGGCAACTGTCATCCAACCACGAGTACCTGAGTTCAAACACACACACACACACACACACACACACACACACACACACACAGACACACACACACAGACACACACACACGGAAATTATACCAGGCAGGGCAGTGGTGGTGCATGTTTGGGAGGCAGAGGCAGGAGAGTATTTGTGAGTTCGAGGCCAGACTGGTCTACAGAGCTAGTTCCAGGATAGTCAAGACCGTTTCACAGATAAACCCTGTCTCAATACCCCACCCCCGCAAAGAAACTATACCACTAACAAGTGAAAAGCATTTTTTTCACCAGTCATAGCAAAATACATATATACATATTTATAAAGAAGGCATAAGCTATTTCCAATATTACATGGTTTTGTTTGTTGAATGCAAACACCAGCCAAGAGAATAAAAATCACAGTTTCCCAAGAATAGTGTTTTATATTTTGGTTGAAAGAGTCTTACTATGTAGCCTAGGCTACACTCACACTTGAGAACTAAAAATCTTCCTGTCTCAGCTGCATAGGCCTTGGGTGCTCATTACAACACAAACTTATTTCTGGCAGATTTTTTCAAGAGGTGGTTGCTACGTAACTGTAGAAACCTTAATAAAGACTGTGGCATCTTGATGTTCTTTTCATACTGGTACTCTTGGAAACAGGCAGCTCCGTCTTTGAGGGGAAGTGTGCTTAGGTTTGTAAGAACTCAGGCTGTACCCTGGCCACTTTTCGGAATTCTTTAGTGTGGGTCTTGGGGCACTGCATCTCACACCAGCTGATGGGAACCATCTGGACACCTACAAGGAAAAAGATTAAAGCTGGTATTGGAGGTGTGACTCCAGAGATTCTGCTGAGGCTCTTTTCTTTTCAGCTAGACACAAGGACATGGCTCTGCTGTAGAATGCTTACTTAGCATATGAAAGACTAAAGGGAAAAAGAAGCCTCATTTATTCCATGATATAAGGGGGCACTTACCTATTATGACATATAATCACTATAATCTTACTAAACCAAGCTATGTGCTGTTCAACAATGGGGACATGCTCTGAGAACTAATACCTAAACACTGGTAAAACAGCAGTGTGTACTCACACATACTAAGCCAGCTACACCACTAGGTGACATTATCTTATGATTTCTTGGGGGTGAGGGTGGATGTGGGGTGAGGCTGGGGACTGGACCCAGGGCTGCATTAATACTAAAAAAATGCTTTTCTACTGAGCTAATCTTTAGCACTGGGTGTTAACAATTCTATGGGATCCATCATGGTATGTGATACCTATAATTGATTAAATAGTTTTCCATATCAAACGGAAGTATGTGTATCCCTGTTGCTTCCTAGATAACCATGGTTCCCAGGGAAAGACTTGGGAGCAAGAACAACTTACCCGATTCACTGTGGGCTACCACTACCCCTAACTCATTTTCAGCAGTGGTCAGCAGGTAATTGGACTGTGCATCACCTAGGGAGATCTAGTCACATGGTGCCAGTGAAGGAAAACAAGAAGCTTTCCGTGCTGTTGCCTTCTGCCACCTCCCTTCCCTTCCCTATTTTAATACTGTTGCCTTCACCTCCCAAGTACTTGGATTACATTATGTGCCACTGAGCCTGGGTTCCATTTCTTCTTTTGACAAAAAACCAGAAATGTGATATAATAAAGGATACAACTTTGGCCAAAACTATGTCACCTGGGCGGAAACTCTTGTAAATTTCAACCTGCAAAAACCAAACAAGAATAAGTGAATTATGTCTAATAAAACACTACCGCCAAGTAGAGCCAGGCCCATTTCTAATCCCGGGGGGAGGTGCCATCATTATGTCAATCCAAATGTTTACTGTTTCTGTATCATCGTATAAATCAAAGAATTTGAATTTACTAACTTGATTAGGAATCTGACTCATGCAAAGGTAGTAAGTATATCATCTGTGAAGACTGAGAGCAATGAATAAACACCCAGCTTCAAAGGCAGTCTGGGCAAGATCCTATCTCACAATAATACAGTTTGTACGTGTGGAGCATATATACTCATGCATGAGGGTGTGTATTTGTGTTGAGGTCAGAGGTCATATCTGGTGTCTTCCTTGGTCGCTCCCTACCTTATTTTTTTGACATGTTCTCTTTCTCTAGTACTGGCTTTCCTAACTTTCTATGTAAACCAAGCTAATCTTGAACTATAGAGATCTGCCTGCCTTTGCCACTCAAGGGCTGGCATTAATGGTGTATACTACTAAGCTCGGTTCCAATTAATTTTTTCAGCCAGTGTCTCTTACTGAATGAATCTCAACTCTAGGGAGCCTCCTGTTCCATATCCTCCACGCTAGCGGCTGAGTTAAACACTCACTTTCTACGTGGTGGCCAGGGATCCAAACACAGGTCCTTATGCTTGTCCAGCAGGCACTGACCACCTCCCTAGCCTAATTAGTACCTTTTAATCATTTGGGTCTTCCTAGGTAGCCCTAGCTAACCTGTTATGTAGATCAGGCTAGCCTTAAATGCACAGAGGTGCCTCTGCCGCTTCAGCAGTGAAATTTTAAAGACATGTGCCGTCATGGTTGGCAAATAATTTTAGTGATAACAGCTTAACCACTTTGGTCAACTGAATGAGAAAATCTTGTACGGGAAGAAGGGACAGTGATTTGAATTTCATGTTATAGCAAGAAATGCTGTTAAGTCCTTATACTCTACATTCCTATGGATTTCTGAAATCCCCTGGGATAATAACTCCTTCCTTATTTGTTTGTTAGACATGGTCTCACTTTATAGTCCCAGCCTAGCTGGAACTAATTATGTAATCTAGGTTGGTCTCAAACTCAAGAGGTCTGCCTGTCTCTGCCTCCAGAGTGCTGGAGTTAAAGATGAGCATACGCTACCACTCCTGGCTATTATCCACCCACCCATCCATCATTTAGATTTATTCATCATAAATGTATGTATGTGTACCACATGCATGGAGGTGCCTGTGGAGGCCAGAACAGGTATCAGGTCCCCTAAAGCTGGAATTACAGGGGTTTATGAGTGTGTGAGGGCTGGGAACAGAACTTGGTTCCTCTGGACAAACAGCAAGTGCTCTTAAATGTCCAAGTTGTTTATCCAGTCTTGAGGATAATATTTTTCAAAGCAAAATTCTTTTTTTTTGTTTGATTTTTTTCCAGACAGTGTTTCTCTATATAATAGCCCTGGCTGTCCTGGAACTCACTTTGTAGACCAGTCTGGCCTTGAACTCACAGAGATCCACCTGTCTCTACCTCCCAAGTGTTGGGATTAAAGGGATGAGCCACCACTGCCTAGCTAAAGCAAATTCTTAGAATCATAGGAAAACAATAACAAAATCTGAAAAACCCCACAAAAACAAACACCCAAACCACCAATCTTCAACCTTGTCTTTTTCAGTTGCTCGGATATCTTCCTTGCTATGTAAAAAAAAAAAGAAAAAGAAAAAGAAAAAAAAAGAAAGAAAGAAAGAAAAGAAAAAGAAAGAAAAATTAGTTATCTTGGGAAAGAATTTCCCATGGAGTCCTAGGAAATAATAAAACAGAATAGGTCATACTGGGTCCCCGGCTATCTTTAACATGCATAATAAGACACTTACCTTTTCTGGGAAAATACAGAACAACAGTATTGATAACTTTCGACAATGGAAAAGTATATCAGAAATTCAGTCATTCGTGGCTACATATGGAATTTAAGGACAGACCGACTACAAGATGTTTGTCTAAAACAAACAAATAAATAAATAAATAAAAATTCACCTATCGTACAATAATTGTATAATCGTTTCTTTTCAGTGAAGCCACAAAACAACTTACCATTTTACCCACAAACTTTTTCCTTTTTTTTTTTTTTTAGCATGCTTGTTTGGTCCCCCAGAACTGGAGATACCAAGTGGGTAACTCGAAGAGCAAAAAGTACTCTTTTTTTAAAGGCAAGGTTTCTCTGTGTAACAACCCTGGAACTTGCTTTGTAGACCAGGCTGGCCTCAATCCAGAGATCTGCCTGCCTCTGCCTCCTGAGTGCTGGGAGGTTGGTAGCCTGCAGCCTAATCTTGGATCAGCACAGACTTGGCCAACGGGTTTCCTCCAGACAAGGCGCCCGTGGAAAACGGACTCTCACTTGGCAAGGACTGATAGTCCATGAGACAGGGTTGGAATTTGCAAAATTCGTGCAGCTTGAGGCTCTATTTTCTCATTACACTGGTGACACTTTGGGCGGCTTTCAGTTTTCCTTTGTCAGTCACACGCGTCATAGCTGCAATTTCCCCTGGAAATTCTGTTCTTTCTCAAACATTTTCCCCCAAGCTTCATTAGGGAGCTAATGCTTCTCAAATCTCTTACCTGGAACTACTAACTACAACTCCTACTGCTGGGAACGTTTCTGACTCAATCGAGACATATGTGAAAAGAACAATATCAGTGTCTCACAGTTCAGGAAAGGGGAGTAGGGTGTGCATGCACAGAGAGGAAAGTCTCAGGGATACACACAGTGCCAACTGTTGAGAGTAAGAGCCTTGCACACCAAACACACAGAATCAATGGGGGAAAAGCGATGTAAACTATGGATGGACAGATCCATTTTTACCACACACAGGCTCTTCCTCTGGTGGAGAACTATGGTGTAGAGACGGGAAGCGTGCCTTATCAAGTCTGCCGTTTACAGATCGAGTCATGGAACCCTCTTTTAGAAAACTGAACCGTATAAAAGCGTATCTTGCAGACGTGAAAGAACCATTCGGGTTTGAATACTGTTGTCCTTAAAGCATTGTGCCCACGTCTATTATTTTAACTTTGTAACCGCAGTAGCTGCTAGCTGACAAAAGTGCTGCCGGAGCAGGATGTGCCTGGCTCAGTATTTAGCTAAGCCTGCAAAAATGCTTATGTCTAGAATAAGGTTATGTAGGGGTTGGGAAGGTGTTTTTGGGGAAGCATAAAGGGGAATAATAGGGACTTTCATAATGATCATGGCACATTCCTTAAAATACGTATTTCTTAAAGTCAAATATAGGGTTGCCTGGTGGTGGCGTACACCTTTAATCCCAGCACTTGGGAGGAAGAGGCAGGCGGATCTCTTGTGAATTTGAGGCCAGCCTGGCCTATAAAAGTGAGTTCCAGGACAGCCAGGACTATCACACAGGGAAACTCTGTCTTGAAAAACAAACAAACAAACAAAAAGCTATTTGGAGCTGCTTGAGTACAATTTACCTGGTGGGTCAGAATCTTTCTTGCCCAACACACCTTCCCCACCTCAGGACCTGAACCAGAGCTGAGGCTGGATGCCCTGCTCTCAACAAGTACTCTTAACTGCTAAGCTCTCTCTCTAGCCTCTCCACAAAACTTTTCTTACAACCTTTGGTTTCAATCAGTATTAAAGAATAAGAATTACGTTGTAGTGCATATCTTAATCCTAGCACATGGAAAGCAGAGGCAGGTAAATTTCTGAGTTCAAAACCAGCTAGGACTAAATATTAAAATAAAAAAATTAAAATAAAGGCTGGGCAGTAGTGGTGCACACTTTTGATCCCAGCACCCAGAGAGTCAGAGGTAGGTGGATCTCTGTGAGTTCAAGGCCAGCCTAGTCTACTAAGTGAGTACCAGGAAAGAAACCCTGTCTTGCGGGGTGGGGTGGGGGGAGGGGGAAGGGAGGGAAAAGTGGGCGGGCAAGATGGCTCAGGGGCTAAAGATGCCTGCCTTTTAAGCCTGATGAAAGCTAGGATTCTGGAACCCACATCAAGGTGAAGAGAGTCGACTCCACAAAGTTGTCCCGACCTTTACATGTGCGCTGTTGTGGTTTGTGGGTTAGCATGTGGACACCAAACAAAATATTAAGAAAAAAGAACATGAAGGCACTTCCTAAGGAGCTTCTACACTGTTTGGTTTGGCTTATCCTGACACTGCTAGTCCACAGCTTTCCTCAGTCCTTTTTGAGACAGGACCTCATGAAGCCCAGGCTAGCCTTGGACATGCTATATAGCCAACAATTTTCTTGAACTTCTCACCCCTGCCTTGATCTCTGAGTGGTGTGATTACACGCAAGTGCCAGCACATCTACATCATGTCATTCCTTTTTGTTTGTCTGTCAAGACAGGGTTTCTCTGTGTAGCTTTGGAGCCTGTCCTGGAACTAATTCTATAGATCTGGCTGGTCTCGAACTCGCAGAGATTTGCCTGCCTCTGCCTCTCAGGCGCTGGGATTAAAGACATGCATTACCACCATATTATATTATATTATATTATTCTTGATCTAATTTAGGGCCTCTTCATCAACTGAGATATATCACTAGCTCCCCTTTTTGCTTTATTTAAAAATCCTCTTTTAACAGTTTTCATTTCTTATAGCTCATATAACTTTTTCTCTGGATATACTGTGGGGCAAAACCCAAAGCACAAGGAGAGACTCAAGTGGGCAGGAAGAAGAACTGTAATTGTTCCATAAATTCTAGTCTTCCCAATACCCTTGCCTCACTTCTGGTGCTGAGGCAAACGTAATTACAAGAATACATCTTACCGGATAGTTCCTCGAAAAGCATTTTTTAGTGGTGTGGACCCCACATACAAGATGTGTACTTTGGCAAAACGTGAGTTGATGCTAGAGACCTAGGGAACAGAGAAAGGTTCAGCATCAGAGAATTGGTCACTGGTCACTCCAAGAATTACAGCAGGAAACTGGAATTACTAGGTTTAGTTTAAGTAACCATACTCAATACATAAAAGGCTTTTGTTTTCAATTTATCTTATGTAATGAGTGTTTTGCCTGCATGTATATCTGTGTGCCTGGTGTCTAGAGGTCAGAAGGTGGGGACTGGATCTCCTGGAAGGAACTAGAGTTACAGATGGTTGTGAACTACCATGTGCTGGAAAATAACCCCAGGTCCTCTGCAAGAGCAATCAGTGCTCTTAGCCACCAAGCCATCTCTCCAGCCCTTTATTTCATTTCAAAAAATTATATGCATGTGTTTGTGGGTACGTGCACCTGAGAGCAGGTGCCCATGGAGGCCAGAGGTCTTACACCTATCCCCCAGAAGTTGGAGTCATAGATGACAGAAATGTCATTTCCTGGGGCTGGACAGGCAGCTGAGCAGTTAAGGGCGCTGGCTGCACTTCTAGAGTACCTGGATCCAATTCCTAACACCCACATGACAGCTCACAATCATCTGTTCCTCCAGTCCCAGGGGACGCAGCACCCCCTTCTCGCTTCTGCAGCACCAGGCATGCACACGGCAGACAAAATACCTACACACATACAATGAAAAGAAAAAAGCTCCCAGAATTGAGAATGTCTTTTAGGGGAAGAGCCTAACATATTTAAGGCCCTGGGTTCCATCACTTCCCCACACACCCCATAATTCATGTGCCAACAAATATGGCAGTCACTAACTACAGTTTGCTACTGAATACTTAAAATGCAGCTAGTGTTGGGGCGAGGGGCTGGGGCACAGGGTCTTACTCTGTAACCTACTCTGGTCTTGAACTTCTGTGGAGTACAACAAAGGTTATATTCCATATGCCTGTCCAGCTTCCCAAATACCGAGACTACAGATACGAATTATCATGCCTGACTGAAAATGAATTTTTCTCTTTTTTTTTTTTTTTTTTTTTTTTTTTAAATTTTGAAACAGGGTTTCTGTTTATAGCCCTGCTATCCTGGAACTGGATTTGCAGACCAGGCTGGTCTCAAACTCATAGAGTTCGGCCTGCCTCTACCTCCTGAGTATTGTGATTAAAGCTGTGTACAACCACCGCCCAGCCACCTGCTAGTATTTGGAAAAAATATAAATTCTGGGCTGGAGGTGTGGTTTGGCTGGTAAAGTGCT